GGATCTTTAAGGGCACGATACTGCGGTTCTTTGATGATGGTGCGCATCGTCTTCTCCCAAGTCCAATCGGCGCCGACGTTGCTGCGACGCAGGAGCTTGACAAAGGCAGACTCAGCCTCATCGTAGCTAGAGTACTGAGGCTCGTTCTTGTCGCTCGAGGTGAGTGAGGAAGGCAGCGCCATCGGTCGGGCAGTACCGTCGGTGCCCGCTTCCATCATCTGGCCCGGGATCGCTAGTGCACGCTCGTTGTTCTGAGGCTGGTTGAACTGCTGAGCGCCCCCGGAAACAAAAGCAGGCATAGGCGGGAGTCCATGAGGTTGGACTCTATCAAGCGCCTGACGGAACTCCGCCGGCATCTCCCAGGTGGTTTCGCGGGTTTGGGCATGATACCTGGTTGCGAATCATCAATCAGCAAGGGCGCAAGGAAACGCGCAGGGAAACACGTGAAAAGGTTGAGCCTACCAGTAGGGTCTTCCATCGGCAGCCTTGTGTTCTTTCCACGGCAAATCCTGCAACGCTCTCTGCGGCGGATCGTCAGCAACTTGCAAACGGGAGCGAATAGGTGTTCTCACCTCTGCAGGAGTCATCAACTCTACTGGTTTGGTCCATTGGGTGGTCTTAGTCTGGACATTGTAGTAGTAGATTTTTCCATCCTGCGCCTTTGCCTCCTGCCAGATCGCAGACATGATTCACCGCACGAGACCTTCGAAGTTGGGAACGCGAAGAGACGCGACGAATGATTAAGCCGGGGGGGTGTCGAGGCGGGGGGGGCGATTCCGGGCAGAGAACAGTATCGTTATTGCGGTGAGGGGTTTGGATTGGCGAGGGGACTTGGTAGTGGGAGATGGTGGTGATGATGATGGATTGACGCGCAAAGGCGGAAGAGTCGAAACCACACCCTCAGCCAACTTAAAAAAAAAAGCTAGGTGCAACCGAGCACTCCAACCGAAGAGACAGCACAACAGCACAAAAAGAAGAATATTATTGTTTATTGTTTATTATTATTATTTGTTATTCTAAAATAAATAGCAATGGCCGCCAACACACTCTCTCGTCAGCCATACAAGAGATCAGCAGCAGCCGGTTAAACTCACCTTGTTATGATGCCTAGAATTGATTCACAACAGAGCTTCCCGCTAAACTCCTCCTCCTCTGCCCACCCAACTCCTTTGTGGCTCCACATCCCACCTCCCACCCTCGACAACTCTGTGCCCGCCCCCCACCCCCTCCGCTTGCACATCGCCGCAAGGACCCTCCCCAGATCCCCCCGCCTAGTATGTCCGCCGGCAAGCAACCGCGAGGCCACAATCGCAATCTCTCCACCGAGATCTCGGAGACAGCTCGTCTGGACCTAATCGTCCCTCATGCTTCCAATCTCAACATAGAGGAAGCCGTGGCGCAGGCTGTTGCGAAAGCGGAGGCCGAAGGGTCAGCTGTGCAAGGCAATACTGCCTCCAATATACCTCTGGTCGCTCACATCGAGCAGCGGAACAATCTCTTCTACGGTTAGCCAGCCACCGCCCTTCTCCTCCGGCTTCCTCCATCCGTTTTGGTCACTCCCCCGACTGAAATACGCGAATGCGCAGATGAGAAGCTGCCCGTTTTTATCGTGCTGCAAATACTGGTCCCGCTGAGCGACGAGCTCTACGAACGCTACCTAGCGCGCATCGCTGTTTCGCTAGAGGTCGCCGCAATAGACGGCCACAAGCCGCAGCACGGGCCTCCAGGAAGGAACCAAGAGACTGTACATATGCTGTTCCAGACCACCGTGAACGAAGAAGAGACCCCGCGCATCTCGGTCGGAGAATCTACAAAACGACTGGCGGTATGGAAGCTGGAGGTTCCGCTTGGCCATCCACGCGCACGCCTCAACAACCCCCGGGTCCTGCTCACCTGCTCTGCGACTCTGCGCCCCGCCGAGCTTCAAAAGCCGTTATTTGAGGACGACTACATGGCGTCCCGGCAGCCAATGGGGATCAACCTGTTGGAATCGTTTGCCGAAGACCCGTTGATGTCTCACTCTCCCCGTCTGTCGGCGCACAGAGTATCTCGCGTCATCCCGGTGACTCAAGCTCCGCAGCAAGCCATCCGACCGATAGGCTATGCTGCAAAGCGTGGTTTCAACATCTACCCCGCGATCAACATCCGGCTACGTTACTCACGGATCCCTTCCGGGAACAGGCATATTGTGATCGCATCTCTGGACCTTGAGGTTACACCATTCAGCCATTGTAGCGTCACCATAAACAGCGTAAACATAGCTGTCGCGGGCGGCAGCGCAACCTTAGTCGCAGACTCCCCCTCCACCGAATTGCCTGTAACATGTCTTCCCCGCGATGACATGACCTTCCTCTACACCCTGGCGCAAACCGACATAAACACTGAATCCGCCTTCACCACACCAGCAGCACCGGGAACGCAGGTGCGCGCCATCTCCGTGAGTCTAGAAGCTACAGCTCTAGTCTCGGATACCTGCCGCCCGTGCATCTTTACCAACTGGACAACAACCGTCGATTTTGCTCCGCCGGCAGCTCCTCACTTCCCCTCTCACGCGGGGATTCAGCGCGCCCACCGCCCGCCCTCACTCGGCGCCATCGTCCACGGCGCAACAGTACAAGCCTCCTCCGGCATCCGCCCGGGCAACCCACCGCCGGGGGCACCACCAGCTCCTTCACCAAACGTAGTCTTCAGTCCTCCCAAAGAGCCGCGCCCAGGCTACTCCTCGGGCATCCCCAGCGGTCCGCCCACCCAAGGCCTAACCGTAACCTTTACCGGGCCCTCGCGCGTCTACGTCGGTGAAGCCTTCACGTGGTCCGTCTTCGTCGTCAACCGGTCCAGCCGCATGCGCAAGCTGGCACTCATCGTCCCTCCAAAGCGCAAGCGCATGGGCGAAAACAAGTCGCTGCCTGCAATGCCCTCAAACGAAACCCCAGAACCGGTAATCGACGAGACAATGGTGTACCAAAGCCACCGGTCTCGCTATCTAGAACCGGCGGAATTGGTCCCATTGGTAAATGACATTCGTATTGGGTATATCCTCTCCCCCAGCCCCACCTCCTGAAAGATTTGTGCTGACTGCGTTCGCGAAGCCCTCTCATGCCAAGCGCGTGTCATACTACCGAACTAAAATTTGTTCCCCTCACCACGGGATTGCTGACGCTCGAGGGTGTCAGAGTCGTTGACTTGAATACTAATGAAACTACCGAGTGCAGAGAGTTGCCGTCGATTGTGTCGGTGGGGAAGAGGACGCCGCCGCAGATCTCGGTGGCGTAGTCGTAGTTGGTTAAGTAATGATAATGAGTTATGGCATAGCTTCTGGCCGCCGTGCTTCATAAAATATCACTCCATAGCGGATCCCTAGCCTCATGCCGCAGTAGGATCGGCTATGCTACCGCATGCCTTGAAAATGTTAATGCGTCATCAAGTTGAGCCTGTTTGGGTGTACATATATCTTCTGACAGCCTTTTCTAAGCCCTTCGTGATGCCCACAGCCTTTTTAATCAAAGAATGTATCATATTCCTCAGACCCCATGGAACCATTGATCATTATAGTGATTTCTTCCGTTCCCGGCGGCAGCTACTAAACGTAGTTGGGGAGGGGGTTCACTGTTGCAAAGGATCCGGACTGAGCCGTTGATTTTGTCCGCCAGAAATCACTCGGCGCCTTGATCTTCGCCCGAGTGCTTGAATAGAGTATATAATCGCTCCCCGGCTGGTGACCCCAAATCCTCGCACCTCGGCACCGGCAAAATGGGGAGGAAGAAGGGAAGGACGGAGTAAAAACAAATGGGGGGACGAGAGTAGGTGGTATCGCAGGCGAACGTGTTAACCACTCCACCACGTTGTCTTGATGGTATTAAAGGCTGGTTAAGCGCTTTTCAGCACGGTGAGCTTGTGAAGAAATCATGACTTTCCTTTTACTTACTAGAAAGCACTCCTAGCTCTTCTCCCTACGCTGCCTTCTACCTAACATGATGTTCATGGCTATGAACACCCTCTAAACCAGTGTTAGCTAGCCAGCCCGTCGCCGCTGAGGATAGGCGGGCAGGCCATCACAGTTTCGAGTGCTCCAGGGCAAATACCAAGAGGAAACCTTTATCGGATGTATAGACCTAGACGTAAATTTTTCAGTCCCCTGGTCATAGCAGCCGCTTCCTCAAGCTCGTGGCTCGCCACGTTTGCCATCTATTGGGGGTTGAACGGCTGGTAAAGTTTATTCGTCGTATACTGGCAGCCGGGGCTTTCTGAAGTACATGCAACCCGTTCGCACAGGTACAACTTTGGACTTGGGTGCCAATCACTTCGTTGTTTACCACTCGCAGCCAGCAGTCATTCAAGACAGTCTGGCTAAACCAACCAACAGTTCCCACCCACTACGCCCCGGCTTTTTGGGCTGGCTATTACGTAGGAAGACTGCTCTAAGCTCGGGAAAATCAAGGTAAGGCTGGCGGACGGAGTTTTGTATATGCCTCCCCACGGAGAGGGGGGTGTGGGTATAAGTTGTTATACATAATATCTTCGCTAGAAAAAAATGTGGAAACGCAAGTTTTTGGTCAGCCACTGCCAGCTTGTCAGAAGTCGACGAATCGTCTCCCCAGCCCGAGGTGAATTGCAACGCATGTTCACGCTTTTCAAAGAAGCCAAATATTGCTGCTTAGGTAGCTTGTGCGCGCCAGCCAGCCAGCCCCAAGTTTCAATCCCTCGGCCCCACTGCTCTAATTGCCTCCTTCAATAACAAAATGTTAGTCATGCTTCCAAGGCACCAATTTCGCCGCTCTCAACTCAAGCTCATGTTAACGGTTCCCATTACTGAGCGGACTAACCCATCCATCATCACATCACAAGTAACAAAAACATACTCCTCTCAACGGCTCCACTTTTCCAGCACAACTCAGGACACTATCACCGCCCCAGCTAAGAAAAAGATCATCCTGCCAAGACGTACACGTGCCGGTAGCAGGATGAGTTATGAGTAAACCCCGCGACGGTCAAACCATGAAGACAACGTGGTGGAGTGGTTAACACGTTCGCCTGCTATTACAAGTACAGCGGATCCTTTCGAGGGCGCAGGTTCGAATCCTGTCGTTGTCGGTGAATCTTTTGTCGTTTTGGCTCATGGCTGGCTACCATTGTAAAAAAGACAAGGGGTTTCAAAAACTGACTGCTTTTTCGCCTTGAACGTTTACCGGACTGTGGCCATATAAAAACGAGCCATGTTTGCCATTGCAGATGCTTCCAAAGGCACGAATGCTTTTAAATTGCAGCGGTTGCAACTGTAAACATTTTTGTATCGGACAACTTTTGGAAAACGTCTCTGTGGCCTTTTATTGCTAGGGGACACGGCCGAAGAGCGAGGCAGCAAGGCTAGCCATCAACACCATCATCGAAGCTTCACGCTATGAGTGGATGATCAGGGCTTCACGATGACGAAGCACACATCAGGCCGGCCCCCATGCCCGCGGATTCCCGGGAGCCTCAGTTTTCCACCTAAAATCAAACAGTAAGAGGCAAACCAGAAAGCCTCACATCACAGTCAATAAATACAATTTCGGCCAAGTTGGATTTCCCAACGTCTTGAGAAGACTGTTGTAAGCAGTGTTGCAAATATTTTAGTAGATTGCTTTATTTATTTTTTCCTCGCCAAAATATTGCAGTTGATCTAGGTATGGTTTCCACTTATACTGTACCGGTCAAAGTGGTTAGTATATAATACGTAAATTCGGAGTGTACGTACTCGCAATCCGGACTGGAAAATCCGGTAATAGTCTAGGAAAATGGGGGCCAAAGTCATAGGTTTTCTTTCCCACGCGGTTGGAAATCAAAAAGAGTTGCCAGTGGCACTGGTAGTTTGTGGATGGGAGAGCTGCCAGTGAAATGAAGGACTTTCTACGTAGCGGCCGAGTCCTACAGAACCCCACCACGGCGGATAGAAGACACCCACCACTCCCTCCATGCTAGAATCTTCGACTGTATCATCTTCATTTGAACTATCACTGGCACACGGAAAATCACTCACGCTCATTCCCCGACTCAGTCACGGTCATGGGGCAGTTACTCAGTCGAGTCTACCTTTATACTGAAGCAAAATATAAGCCATAAGCGTTCAGTGCTCCTACCCAAGTTCCGATAATCATCACACTGTATATTCAGCACGGACGTTTTTCCTGGCAAAGACATCTCTCCAGCGTCCACTAACGTTTATACACGGCCGCCACCATGGCGATGGTCACACAAACCGTTTTTTTTTTTTTTGGAAGCCCGCTTGCCGGATCGGACTGGAAGAAGCGAGGCAGTGAAAAAAAAACCGAAACAACGCCGAAAAAAAAAAGAACCGACAACGACAGGATTCGAACCTGCGCCCTCGAAAGGATCCGCTGTACTTGTAATAGCAGGCGAACGTGTTAACCACTCCACCACGTTGTCTTATTGATAGCATAGTTTGTCCAATATCCAAAGGGTGTAGTCGTGGTGGGATCACTATGGGTCACTCGGTCCACTCATGGAGCGTTTATTCGTCTGTGTCCATAGTCTAGAAGGGCTCGGATATTTCCAACTAGTTATGTGGCAATTGATGAACCTCGAGGGATCGATGTTGAATGTGTGAGCTGTGGGTCCCAAGTAATGGAAGTCGGGGATGGGCCGTGATCCAATAATAGCCCTTGTCCCACCGCACGTCCGCATATGCATATGCAGTCCTATTGCGGGCCGTCTATCTATTGGCGAGCCACGGCCATGCATGAGCACCGTGAGTTGGCAATTTCAATCGATATTGCAAGCTGTGAGTATATAGTGACCATAGTTCCCCCGAAGTCTCATCCATCTCAAAATCCATCAGCCATGACACAGGCGCAGAAGAAGAAGAAGAAGCAAGCCCCGAGCTCGAGTGATGGCCTTCAAACCACCGGAGCTACACAGGCTCCACCAAGCACTGATTCACCACCCGCGGCTCCCTCCAAATCTAGTCGGCAGAGACGGAAAAGCCAGGCCAAGGCCCCAGTTTCCGCCGGAGATATAATGGCGGCAGTGGGCGAGAAAACATCTCCCCCAGTTACACCACAATCCTCAGGTTTACACGGGAAAAAACGACGCGGAAGTCAAGAAACGAGTAAAGCCCAAGCTCCGATCCCCGTGGCCCCGACAGCCCAAACTTCACCTATAGTGATGGCACCTGGATCTGGGCCACTGGTTCCTTCCTCTCCAGGTACCCCCCGGCGTAAAGAGAGGCGGAAAAGCCAGGACACAAGTAAAGCCGATGTCATTGTGCAACCGCCAGCTCCCGCGGCCGCGCCGGGGCGGGGCGATCAATCCGGCGGGCCACAGACCCCCATCCAGGCAGCCTCTCCCCCAATTTCACAAATTCCTTCATTGCCACCACTCTCTGCGCTCCAGACCACCGCTCCTAAACGAAGCAGTCAATCCAACAGACCACAGACTCCGATTCAAGAAGAAATCCCACCTATACTCCCAGAAGCCCATTCACTGTTAGCTCCTACTCAAGCCACTACACCTATCAAACCAGCAAACGCTGCACAGGACCGTCGGTTTTTCATGGCTGCCCTTATGTTGCATGCTTTGGATCCCGTCCGCGGAGACCGTCAAGGTCGAAGAATCCAAGACCCTTCAGAGGACGACGAGGCGGACGAGCTCATGTGTCGGTTCCTGGACTCGATAGCGTATGCCTGTGATCGTAGGAGGGGCGGGGACACCGTCACAGCCGCGGCACTGCAAGATGATCCCGAAGGACCCGTATTGTTACTGGCCTCAAATTCAACGATCAAGGCAGACACTCGGGAAGCACTCCGGAAAATTTTAGGACAATTGGCAGAGTTCAATTTCAGCAGGGATACGCACGAGATGGAGCAAAAGTTGGAAGATGATATCTTGCGGACACTGGTACAGTTGGGATCCGCTCGGTTGAAGGACTATCAAAGACAGGCGAGGATTAAGATGGAAAGTAGTAAAAGAGTATTCGCTAATCTTGGTGAAGCCGACTTTTCTATGCCCATAGTGCTTTACTAATACATACCCGGCATGCGCAGCTGCAGCGTCGACACAGTTTGTGGCCCGGCTCTCACAAATCCTTCTCAGCAAGGACCTCGAGTATGTCGTTCGATGCAGCTACAATGCGGTCAAAGACCAAGCCCTCACCGATTTACGTCGCGAATTCGAAAACCACCAGCGGGATCCAAAGCCCGTTCTCGAAATCCGCCACTTCATCGGCCGCCTCGGTACACACGTGTCGGTAGCAAAGCATTTCCTCCGGACCGCACGGATCCCAGCGAACCGTCGACTGCTCTCGGAGGTGCGCATCCGAATCCTTCCCTCGTCCACTCCAGAGCCCAGTCCCATCCCCGGCGCCTCGCAAGCGACAATGGAAAATATCATGTCCAAAGTCTGCCAAAAAGATGATGTGAAGCGCTACACCGAAAGACTGCTGGAACACAATTCAACACTCCAACTCAACATCCCCGAGCTCCTGGCGAAGAAACGTGCCGTCAGCACACGGGTCCACGCGGAGCTGCTGATCATCGAACACTTTCGCACCAACAATTTGGCTTTCTATAACTCCAACCGACGGTATGTTGGGTGCTCGAAGCCGGCGTGTTACCTTTGTTCACGGTATGTGCGGGCACTAAAGGGACCCGCTTTTCTGCTCAGAGGTAGCCATGAAAAGCTTTATATTGCGTGGAGACCGCCGGATCTTCCGGTTCCCTGCGAAGAGGGGAGATTCAGGGAGCGGAGGGATCTCTTGAACGAAGTTATGGAGAATATTCGGAGGGAAATTATGGAGCTTTTGGATCGAGGAGCGAAGAGGCGGCAGTGGCATCCGGACTCCACGACGGGCGTGAGCACGGTACCGCCGTTTATCTTGAGGGACCGACGGTCTGGTGAGTTTTATAGCCCCTTAGCATTAGTGCTCTTCTTATATATGTTGAGTTTAAAGCATTTAGCCACCCTAATCGGAGGGATAATGACGTAGAAAGTATCTTAGGGGACGTCGATAGTGAAGACGAAAGAGGAAGTTCGAGCGAAAGCGACGAGGAAATAGTATATCAAAGGCGTATACTATAGTCTGGAAGTAATTTTTTTCTGCTCGAGGGGAATTTTGAACCCATCCATAGCGTATCACTCGTAACACGCGCAGCCAGCCCGTTAATTTCTTTAGCGTTTGTCCTGCGTCGTTAGCGAGTGGAGAACAAAGCACCGCACCATACGCGCGGGATCTGGCCCCAGGCACGATGATGCTGGTCCTGCATCCGGCATCGTGACAAACGGTTTCGGATCAGATGGAGCTCAACTGACAGCCTGCATTTCCAGGCTGCATGACATGACTGGCAACTACCGCAGCACGGCCGTGCCCAAATTTATACCCACAAGGCTCACCAATGGCTTCGCTGCAAAGTGTGCTTTTGCAGACGTTTTTGCCGAGCCTTCCCAGGGAGTCCGCTATTTATTGCGCTGCTGCCTCCACGCATTCAGTTGCACCTGATGTCTCCGCACCAGGCCATGCTCATCATTCTTTCGCCTCAGGATGTGTTTCGATCATCCACTCGAGTCACCGCTTTCTTTTCGGGCCATTTCAGCATCATATCGCACACATACTGCCGTCAGCTTCAGCCCTCGATGTTTCAATGACTCCCTTCGATGTTTCTCAGCTGGCCACTGCAAGCCCAAGCATGATCGAGCACATACCGACGTAATCCTCACGCTGCGTTTTTGACGGCTGCCTAGAGTATTAGTTACTGTGTGCATCGATCTGACTCAAGCTGCAGTGTTCACGGAGGCCTAAAGCCGATCGAGTCAATGCATATTCCCGACCTACGCCGTTTTGGTTGATAGCTTTCGGTGGGGATGGCGGTGAGGTGAAACTTGCCGATGCTTCTGCTGGCATGCGTTTCATTGCGTTTACAGGGCGTCACAGTTAAGGCGAGGACATATCCACAGCCATATCAGCTTCAAGTATGTAATATTTCTTACTGCTGGTTGGGTGCTGCGTGAAACAGCTCAGCCTCATCCGCAACAAAGACAGCCTTGCAAAACCAAGGATGCCTTTCGCTGAGTCATACCCACGAAAATTATCAGGTTCAACC